CAGGCCAAGAGCATAGGGAGTGATGGGGGTGGCATTTTAGATAAGATGGTCAGGAACGCCTTTTTGATAAGGTGACATTTGTTTAGAGAGTTGAACAAAATGAGAGTGAGCCTTATGAATATATAGGGGAAGAGCATTTCCAGGTAGAGGGAAGAGAAGTTCAAAGTCCTTAAAGTAGGAATGTGCTTGACAAGTTGGAGAAACAGCAAAGGAGCCAGCACGATGGGCAGAGCGAATAAGGAGGAAGAGAAAGAGATGAGATCAGAGAGGCAGCTGGGATCCTGCTTATATAGGCCTTGAGGACTTTGGTATGCATCTAGGATTTGATTCTGAATGATGCCGAAGGCACTGGGAGGTTCTGAGTAGTTAAGTGACATGTTCTCAAAAATATTAGACAGCTGTGTGGAGAATAGCTGAGGTGGGGTGGGGAGTGAAAACTGGCATACCAGTTAGGAGGCTACTGCCATGTTCTAGGCAAGAGATTCCGGGAGAGCTGCTGGAGAGGTTGAGAAGTTGTGAACCTCTGGTTGTAGTTTGAAGGTAGCGCCAACAGCATTTGCTGATGGATCGAAATGTCAGAGAAAGAAAAGAATCAAGGATGATTCTGAAGCAATTGCAAAAATGCAATTCCCATTAACTAAGCTCTCTAAGAAGACTATGGGAAGAGAAGGAAGTCTACAGGAGAAAGTTCAGGTTTACTATATTAAGTTTGAAGTGACTATTAGATATCTGCTTAATATTTTTAGATGTGAAGTTATCAGTTGGATATGAGTCTAGAATGCATGAGAAAAATCCAGGCTAGAAAAAAATTTGGAAACTGTTTGTGTGTAGATGATATTAGTGCAGCGTCCAGATTAGGAGAGATCTCTTAAAATTACAGACAGAGGCCAGTGGACTGAGCCTGGGTCACTGCAACATGTAGAGGGTGAGAAAGTAAAGAGGGCTGAGCAAGGGAGACCAGTAGGTAGGAGGAAAGGAAACTAAGAGGCTGCAGTGGCCTGGAAGCCAAGTACAAAAAAGGTTCAACAA